CAGGCAGGCAGGCAAGCCTAGTGAACCATGAGCGAGGCCACTCGGGACCACTACCGAAGCGACGACGGGTCCTGCAGAGAACGTAGAAAGAACCGGCGTAGCGTTTGTAGGTACGCTGCATTCGATTTACTAACTGCGTGCTTGCACGCTTAGTCTATTTATTTCAGGTGATGGGTTTTCAACTTCGTCCTAATGCTTTTCTCTCATATAAATGTCTACTTATACTCGCTCCTAAGAACTGGCACACGTTGCTTAAGCCAATTGCAGTCATTTTCGTGTTTGTGGCATTTACGTAAACTATACTTTCCGACCTCGTGAACTTACCTCGGATCCGCTTGTAAACAACTTACCTCATATGCCCATTAATTTAAGATTTATGTCACTGTTTCCTGAGGTTTACTCGGTTTATATTCTTTGTTCTATCAAGTGATTGGCTGCTGCTTGATAGCCCCGGTGTGGCTGCGCTTGACGTGCATGTTGACAAGGTAGCTACCTGTCTATTACCCACTACCTCGTTCATACTGGATCCAGGAGACAGTTGATTGTTGCTGGAGGGGACGGGGTGCACGGTCTTTGTGGTCGTGCTAGGCTCGAAGAGTGGTTCCATGCACTCAGTGTGGAGCGGACTACGGTCCAGCCACCGTCTTGTGTGCACTTGATTCCCTAAATACAGTGTGCTTGTGTTTGCCTGTGAAGGAGTGTGGACCGGCTCCATTGATGAAATGTGGCGCTATTGTGGTCGGTTCCTTGCTATGTTAACTGATCGTCATTTTTTGGACCCCAACCACATAGTCAGGACACACCAACCGATGCCAACTTCAAAGTCAGAGATTTCACTTCTCCTGACCAAATCATTGCTTGGCCTGCACTCCTCTTTTTTCATCCCCACCACCGGCGCGCAAACAACGCATGACGCGGGACTAGGTGGATTGGAATGCACAACAAGTAGCCCAGCCATCGGAGCCTGGTGCGTAATATACTGATGTTGACCGGTTCATTCGTCCTACCTGTACCAAATGCGCGACAACGATCACATTGATTGCCCACGCAGTGCTTCCACCAGACATGAGCTAAGCCACGAAGACAGCAATGGTCGAACGTAGCAAGCCTCTTTATGTCTGTTGACTTGATAAGCCAGATTTCGCAAGCATACAGTAGGGTTGAACGAACGGTTGTAAACTCTGCCCTTCAAGACGACAGTGAAGTCGCACCGGCGCTAAAGGTGGCGGAGATAGGCAAAAGCACATCAGCTTTTGCAATGCGGTTCGTTCCCCCAGCTTCAATTCCGCTGGCGCTGAGATAGCTGATTAGATACTTGAATTTCTGAACGAGTTCTAATTGATCATTACCAAGGGTCAGTGCAGACGGTCCCTGCCAAAGTGGGAAGAAAGATTTGCACTTTGCGGATGCAAAGAAAAGCCCGAAACGACTGACAGCCAATGCCAATTCGTCCAGTGCTAACTGGCACGTTTGAAAGCTGTCACAGGTAACGGTAATGCCGTCGGCGTACTCAAAGTCAAGTTTTTTCTACCTGGAGCAGCTCCACACCTTAAAAGTCGCGTTCAGTGAAGGCAGTTTCTAGGAGAAGTTAAAAAGGAAAGATGACAGCGAGCATCATAGTCCCACATCGCCGGAGATATTGTAGGGTGCCAACAGTTTTCCGTAAGTCCTCACTCTGCCGAACTAAGCGAATAAAGCGCTTTGATAATATTTACGTATTCTTGTGGTCAATACGGCCGCAACTACGAGGACACACGGCTTTTGCCTCGCGAATCTGGCTTTCAGGTGCCAACGATTCTATAAAGAACGACAGACAGGCGATCTAGATCAGATTTGCCCCTCTATGGTAGTCGCATTTAGAAGGTGGGCCTCTCTTGGAAATTAGGATTTTGACAAAGCGGCTCCAGTCCGGTGGGACAGTATCCTACTCCTACCGCTTCACAAGTTGTGCAGACCATCTGTAACAGCAGGTCTCCCGAATTTGAAGAGAGTTGGCGGGATACTATCTGCTCCTGTGGTCTTATTTAGTTTCAACAATCTGATCTCACGTCCGATTTCTGCACGATGGCGGATACAAGGGAACAGCTCAAAGAGTAGAAAACCCATTGGATGATGGAGAAGCCAGTAACTTTAATTAATTAAGCTGCTTTTCAGTGTTTGGTCCAACGCTACAAGCGCGTTAACAAACTGTGGATCGGCCGTCTACCCTCATCGTGTTAGTCTCGCTAACTTCAGGTCTGCTTCTGGCTGTTTCGCGTATCAAACGGAATAACTTCTGATGGCTGCCAATAGCAGTGGTTATTTCCATCTCCGATGCACGGTGAGACCACAATGCTTCGCGGTCCCGCTTCAGACCAGCACACAGTTTCGCCCAGGTTGGCAACTTGATTTACCACATGAAGATATGCCGATGCTAAAAACGTCTGGCAAATATGCGAGTAGTTGCCCTCCATCTTGTTCAGAGAGCGTGTACTAGCCCAGATGCTATCGTATTTTGGTACGCATTCAGGACATCTGGCTCACAGCGACGCCGCATGCGCCCACCGAAGCGAACTGTAAGATCGCTTTAGACGACTGTGTGGTCAGAGACCACGCCCATGCTCCAAATTTAGCGGTTGCTTTGGACACAGCCTCTCCAGCAGACACGCTGCAGGCGAACACTACATGGTAGAGTTCACATCGAAGTTGCACAGAAATGGGAAATTCGACAACCCTGAAGAATGCCACTTGTTGTCAAAAAGATGTCTGACTACTAACTGCTGTTCCTGATGAGATCTGTGCTCGGGTAGAGTAAGCAAAATGCAGCCGGCACGTAGCCTGAAAATAACGAGCTTGTCTTGTACTCTGACGGCGCGGGCTCGAGCGTGCGTACGGGCAGGGCGACCATCGTAGTACCCTTAGCCTACGTGCGACCGGTGGTTGCGGGGCAGCGAAGTGTCGGTACTGCGTACCAGTGTACTGCTGATGCCTGACGCAAATTGCTCATATTGCATGGGAATACTTTTCAATGCGAGGATTTTGAATAGATTCCCTGATTCGGATGCACTCATGGAGTCTATGAACACAGCTACAGTCTGAGGTATGCGTGGCGCACTACAGTCGCATTTTCAAATGGAAACCATCTCAGAACCAACTAGGCACGTCTGCCTGTTGCGATGCTCGCCCAACGACGCGAAGCGAAGAGCTTCGATTGGGTCACACACTTCGAGCATCAGGGCCATTCCGTGACTGGTGGAATGACTTAGGGGAATTTATATCCTATCTCCATAAATATATGCATCAACAAACTAGACGCCGTCATTGATAGTGGGATGTGCAAGTCGGCCTACATGCCAGTGACATACAAGAGGCTTGAGTAGTAGAAAGAACGGCGACGTCCAATGGGGAATACGAAGCTCTACATCCTATAGGCTACCGAACCAACGTCATGAGTAATGGGTTCAACTGAGCAGGCGTTCTACATATCTAAATTACCGAAGAGAAGCAAATGCAACCACATAGTCCGCTTGTTTTCGGATGTTTCCTACGTACCGAGAGCTAGTAAAGACACGCACGTCAAAGATGTATGGGCAGACCTGATCAGTGGACGTTGATGTCGAATCGTTGATCAACGGTACATGTGGCAGAGCTAGGTCTGGTGGGATCTTCGAGCAATACTTCGCTGCCGGATGCTACGTATAGGCTGGTGAAGATCCAGGGAGAGCGAATGAACTGCCAAGCACCATGATACCACGCATCAGGCTCCGATGCCTGGGCTACGTGTTGCGTATGCCAGCACACCGACTCCCGCGAGGTGCATTGTTTGTACGACGGGAGTGCGGTTGGAAGAAAACGGGAGGTAAGCGATGCCATGATCGAGAGAAATGAAAATCCTCACTTCGAAGTTGGCGTCGGTTGGTGCATCCCAACTGCCTGGCTGGGGTTCCAAAGACGATGAACGTTTGGTTGAACACACTTGCTGATATGACGAAGAGCCGGTTCCAATGGCGTTAGTGTTGTCAATTTCGTTGTCCAGCCCCCCTTTGGACTCCCCTTCAATTACGATCCTATGCATCCAATGTTTTTCGCTATAATACTTGTTTTCTAAATTCTTTGTACTTTAAGCTTTTAGCAGCTTATTTATTTGTATTGCGGCACATTACCTGAGGTGCGTATCTCACCCTCAGCTAACGTGTATTGATGATGAAGAAGCAAGGAAACAGAATCACGTGGCGAGGATGCAGACGCTGAGAAAGGTTATATTGAGGAATGCCTTTGGAATTGAATTAGGAGCCCCAAGCAAGAAAACGTGCCTGAGGTCCCGTTTCTGACTGGCGGGTTAAGTTGCCCACCCGCGGCCTTAAAGATCACAAGTTTGCTTGGTAACTTGAGGTCCTGGGTTCTAGCCTGTGATGACTCTAGCCCACACGTGACTGGTGGTGGCTGCGTATAGGCTAAGCGTCGGTACTGCGTACTGTACTGTTGACATCCCATTAGATTAACGCAAGTTTCGAAACCCATTTTGGTTATGCTTTTCTGTTGTATGCGTTCTTTCTACCACGAATGGGTGTGTGGAATCAATCGGGTTTCACGTGCCGACGGTGCTCACACCATACCCAGGTAATTGAGCCGTGAACCGTGCTTCAGAAAATATAGACCAAAAAAGTTGGACTTAAAGAAACCCGATGCGAACGAAAGCCTTGTAAGCAGTATCTAAACAGACCTCCGGGGACGTAACTAAGATGAGAAAACAGACAACGACGAGGCTTTGCAACAAATGAGGCCTCTCTCCTGAAGAGCACGTAGATAACCAGTAGGGAAATTCGATAACTTACATTAATTCACGCATTAACAGTACCTTTAGACACCAGGTTCGTTAATGCGCGCACAATCGGTAACAGACAGTAGGCATATTGGCAACGGTGTGAACAAGAAAGAGGACTAGGCGCAGCAGGCGACGCCATGCAATAACAAGCGGACGCCATTAACCATTACTGTAGACGAGCACTGAGTTACGAGCTCAGGATCCGACACGAATTCGTTATTGAAAACACGAGATACAAATAAGAAGCAACTCGATGAGAATGGTTGTTTTGCATTCGTATGCAGGTGATGATCAGATTGACATGTAAAACGCTTCCCTATACAAACTCGTGGAAGGAACTGAACGAGAGAGATATGCGACTCCCAAAGTTGAAGTTTCAAGCCGAAGCTTCTTGGGCAACGGGTTCTTTAGCTTCTTCGTCTTCCACTTTCCCATTGGCATCAGCATCTTCATCGAGAGTTTTAGGGGGTGGATCAAGGTCTGGAAGATCTGATGGGGAAAGTAAAGGAATGGTAAAGGAATGACTGAACGTGTCGTCAACCCGAAAAAGGTACACATTAAATATTTCACAACATTCAGTAATACTGTACGTTTTACTGACTGCACACTCGTACGCACTACGTTGTTGCTCAATTTCCATTACTTGTAGTCTGAAATATAATTGGTTCAGTTTTATCGATCTTCCCTGTTGTCCCTTAGTTGACACGTGTCATACGTGTCGCTGCTATCTACAAGTATTCGAGATGCACCCCACAAGTATTTTCCCCACCAGCCCAACGGACAATCACCCGTCGGAATTTGAACTCAAGCCAAACGGCAACTAAATGAAAAACAATCAAAAAAGCGACAAGTACCAACGCGCATAGCATTACAATGTAAACACTCCATTTTGATAAGAAATAAGATTCATTTGTGTAAGGATACCCTTCACGTGCTACCGTATGTTCACAATGACGCAAGCATGTATGCAACATAAAGTGCATGATAGCCTGCGTGTGATTCGGGTTCCCTGCACTACATATCCGACCTACAGGTACGTTTGTGTCTCAACTGCATCTGAAAATGTCTAGTCCGGATTTAGATCGGACGCCCAGCAGACACTACTGCCGATAGGTTTACCCAGTTGACAAATTCTGGCAGTAAGCAATAGAGACCCATGCAGTGACCAGTGGTAAGCAATGCGTCGTCTGCTAGAAACTATCCCTATAAAAAAATCGGATGTGGATGCGTAAAACAAGTGAGACACAGCTGAAGAACGATGTGAAGCAGGACAATAAACAAAAATAGGACAACCATCCACGTCTTGCAGGACTTACTGCACGTGGGCAGCATGCAGACCAAATGAGAAAAAAAATTCATCTCACCCGAGCTACTAAAGATTGGATAGCACTAGTAGCACGTCGCTAGCTATCGTCGGCAATTGCGAGTAGGCTGCACCTACAGGTGCGGCTAACAAAGACGGACCTCGGACCTCCCTTCAGAGGATCGGGTTTGAATGAAGGGTGCTGTAGAAGAGCTACGGAGACGCCGAACAAATGGTGAGGTCAATCAGCACAATATAGACTTTCGCGATTTCAGAAAGCAGAGTTCGGTGGGAATCTTTCTTTGTCATAACAGACAGCAGGATAAATGGACTATTTTTGAAATCTACTAATATGCGTAACAAGAAATAAACTAAAATGCATTCATTGTCTCAGAGAGCCAACCGGATTTCATAACTTTTTCTGAGACCTGGTAATCTTCGAAAATCTTGAGCTCGGAAGTTCGTATTCCGTGGTATCACTACTCTCGGGTCGATCGCTCTAAAGCGAAGTCTGGTGGTGGCGTCATTCTGCACTGAAAGGTAGACGTCAGGGCTCATCTAGTGGGAGCAATCTGTGACCATGCTTTTTTGAGGTTCTGCGGGATCCGGAGCTTGCATACTAGGTTCGATAGAGAAGCAGGGTGGAGACTGCTCTATAATGATTGGGATCTGCCGCACCGTGTTGACTCGCTTCCCTCGAAACTGTTCTTGCCCGTAATTTGCTTTAGTATATCGCAATGAACACTAAAATATATGCACAGGCCAGTTTTTACACATCTTGGATCTTGTACATGCCCTACAACTGCTTGGCAAAAGCGATCACCACGTAATCCCCTTCAAAACGGACCTGGCGTCACAGTAATGTTGGCTAGAAAGTATACCGTTGGAACATCTCGTGTGCGGAACCATGCCAGCTGAGAGTCACTGCAAGGAATCTGAACCGGAGAATTCCGCATTTCCAGTGACTGTATTTAAAAATGATGTCATACATAAACCAAGTTGGCGTTTCTAACAGGAAACATTTTTCTAGAGACCCTAATTGAACCGAGCATGAATGACAGATGCTTATGAGTATAGATTAGGTTTACATTTAGAATATCGAGCTAGAACTATTCGAACTGAGGCGGTTAGAAAGCGTTGCACCCCAACGAGACGCAAAAAACGGCCAGAGAACGAGTCTTGCTTAGCGAAGCCTATAACTCACAAGCAACTTTCCACCTACTTGAGGCGAAGTACAAAAGCTGGATATGGAATACCTGCATTTTATTAAAGTGAGAATGATATCATACTCCATGAAGATAATGCAAAAGCTGGTCTCATAACCCTGCTGCATTTACTCGTCGTTTCCATCTGTAAGCTTTAAAACTAAAGGGCACTAATGTTAGTGTTCAGCCGGACCTTCTACTGGCAGATCGACTGAAGCCAAAGGAGGCCATAAAGAACCTTAAGAGCAGGCGAGCGGCTGATGAACAGGGTCTCCGGTTGGTGGATTTTCGGATGGTCAGTCGGCGATTTTTTTCCATCTAACCAGTGCCCGTTCTGGTAGCGCGCGACCCAGGGCGGGACATTACGAATTCCTTCAGATAGTGCTAAGCAATGTGTGCAGTCTAAGAAATAAGGTGCAAGAGTTAGATACGCTTGTAGATGGGTATCATCCCATCATAATTGCACTCACCGAGACATGGCTGTCTCAGGACATCACAGATGGTGAAGCACATCTATCTGGCTACATACTATTTAGATGCGATCGCTCCGACAGGTAGGTGTCGCTTTTTATATAAGCTGCAAAACTGACGTGAAGACAAGCTTAGTTCAGTCGGTTGATTAAACTGTTGAAGCTCTGTCGGCCGTTAGTAGCACCAGCTTTGCTTAAGTTACAGTTTTAAATGATGTATTCAAGCTGTCTACTTTATTCGCATCTAATCCGCAAACAGGTGTTTGATGCTGGGCGACTTTAACCACTCTGGGGTTTGCTGGGCAATTCAGCGTCAAGTAAATTAGGAGCTTCAAGTACCTTTGCATCAGATCGTGGATTCCCCAACTAGGAACATGGAAATTCAAGTACCGTCTACTTTAGACCGTGTATTTGCTAAGTCACCATTTTGTTGGTGATATTACTTACGGACCTTCACAAGATGTTAGTGAATATGTTTGCTTGCGCTGCAGTTGTCCTCTGTCTAGACGCTACCAGAGTACAGTTGAGTCTTGCCCGAACATATGGCACATAGACTATCCATCAATCAGCCAAGGCTTTGGGTTTCCGTTGTGAGATGTCGGGGGATGACACTGTCCAGGTCACAGAAGTCTCTACTTCTTTCAACACCGTCAAAGGGAGAAAGGAGGAACGGGCACAGCCCCCTGGAGAGATTTAACTGGCAGGCACCTGCTCACAGAGGTACAAATGTAGTTCAAGTCCGGGTGGGGCTGGAACGATAGAAGAATCTCGTGAGTATCCCATCTTGAGTGGATTGTTGAGCCAGGAATTGAAGTGCTCAGAGTTATTGACGGATCTAAAACCGAACACCCGTATCGCACCCTAACCAACCAGTTAATGCCCGTTTCCTGCCTTAGCAGTCCCGTGAAGTAAGCAAAGGATAGGAAAAAAAATCAAAGGTACAGAATAAGGAAGTGCACTTGAAGTGAGAAAATAATACCAATGCATGGAGAAAAGTAGAGAAGAAAATCGAAGTATGGAGGTGCTAGTTAAGAGGGGAAGGTTTCGTGTTGCCAAGAGCGTCAAGTTGACAATGAAACCCCTTAACCGTAGATTCCCTGACAACCGTCTCCGGAAGCATGTTCCAACGCTCGGTGACTCGGCGTGACAGCCGGATTTCTGCCCTAATCCGATCGGACCGAGGTTTGTTCAGCTTCATGGAGTGATCGCAGAGAACGGACAATCTAGCGGGACTGAATAGCCAAGACAAATCTGGACCAACCTTCTCATTTAAGCTACGGTAGGTTAGGATTAGGTCTCTTCTAAGCCTTTGGCAGTGCATTGAATGCATTTCCAAACTAAGTAGACGCTCGAAGTGCGTCTGTCGACTAACCTAGTACTCACCCGTAAAACCCTCTCTAGCTCCAGTTTGTCCCGGACGAAGCAGGGCGGACAAGCCTGGACGCAGTATTCCAGATGAGGCCGGAGGAAAGCCGAGAACAGTCTCGTAAAGATGCCGCCCGTCAAGACCCGAAAGGTCGTACTAACCACAACATGCGGAAGCCTTCGCTTGCGGTCTTCTTCCAGTTGTCGTTGGAGTGTAAAGCCGAAGAGTGTACAACCCTTGTTATTAGATCTCATCAGATGGTTAGAAGGCACCGAAGCTGGGATCACTGAGATGTCAGTTGTGACCGCTACCTCTAAGCAACCGGGTTGGCGGACTTACTGACAGGCTTAATTCACCGGTACCTATGACAGGTACAGTAAGGTTATAAATAGAGGTAAGCATTACCTAAGGAATGTTGGGCTCAATTTCGAGAAAAGTCTAGCAGATGAAGCCTCGGTTCGAACTGGTCAATTCCAACGTTGATGCGTGATGACGGTACTCATGCTCATACAAAGCATAACAAAGCCTGAGTACTTGGTTGGCAATATGTAGCACCGTTTGTGGGAGAAACTACTTGGACAGGCGTTGAGCTGTTTTCCAGGGTCCCGGATGATTCGGGCTTAGCTGAATTTGTGGCGGAGACGGAAGTCCGTAGGCTGCTACAAGGGCTGAGTTTTCTAAGGCATCTGGGCCTGATTTGATTCACACGAAATTGTTACATAAGTTAGAAGCGGAACTAAGTGAACCGTTCGCTATCGTGTCTCGGAAACCACTTGATAGCTGTGCATTACCGTCCGTGTGCAGCTAGGCTGGTTGAGGAGTTACGAGGAGAGATGTACCCCGAGCGTCTACTAAGTTTGAAAATGCATTCAATGCACCACCAAAGGCTTAGAAGAGATCTATTCCTAACCTACCGTAGCTTAAATGAGAAGGTTGGTCCAGATTTGTCTTGGCTATTCAGTCCCGCTAGATTGTCCGTTCTCTGCGATCACTTTATGAAGTCGAACAAACCTCGGTTCAATCGGATTAGGGCAGAAATCCGGCTGTCACGCCGAGTCATCGAGCGTTGGAACATGCTTCAGGAGACGATTGTCAGGAAATCTACGCTCTTGGCAACACGAAACCTTTATCTTTTTTTTAACTAG